TGTATTATAAATTAATTTATTAAAATAAACGTATTACAATAATTTTGGAGAAAAAAAAATATAGTATTTGGAATCATCCGTTATTTGATATCTAGCGCCCGGCTTAGTCGAATGATACCACACAAATAACTGTTGTGTAGTTGAGATGGCGTGGACACAGTTTGGCAGGCGTTGATCGTTGTCTTTGTGGAATATATTATATACAATAATATTTTCTACGGTAAAACAATTAACGTTGCCCCTTGTTGATTAGATAAAATAATAGAATAGAAATAACATTTTCGGTTTTGAACAGTTCCCCAATCAGTCTAATCGTGAAAACTTCTATTCACACGATTTTCGGAAAGGTAGAATTTTCGTTTTATACTTAAATTAGACTACTCGACTGTTACTTTTTTAAACAGTTTTTGTTGCACGCAGATGATAACATTATGATATTTCGAGGTCTTAGTCGTTGATCTGTTATTATCGAAACGCGACAAAAATAATCTGAAACCGGTATTAATATTTATTCTCGTTTGACTGACAAACATTTATTTTCTGACGCATTACACTGTGTATACGATACTCTAATGTATATTTATTTTTGACTGTGTAAGCAGTGTCAAACAATTCTTAATAATTCTTGACAAATTCTACGTCTCTCTTATCCTTTGGCTAAAAATCATAGATCGTTGTTGAAATCAAATCGTTTGTATCGACTTTTATTCATCGAAAATTCCACTAATGCGACAACGATATTCCTGTGGGATCTCATTGTGTGTGTGGAGTTCACGATTTAGTCGCTTGCGGACGGTACTTGGGTTGAACACACGATAGTAGCACTGCAGACCGACCGGTGGTTACGGATCTGTCCCATAGATCATGCTCATTGATCCTAAATGCCGGATAAATGATATCCACTCGGAGGCCCTCAACTTTGTTTTACCTTAAACCGTATCGAAAAATTAAAAAAAAAAAAACTATTATAATTATTAGACAAACGACAGAACATAAATAAAAAATTATACTGATTTTAACAAAAGAAACAAATTGTAAACAAATTTTGTAATCATCTTCTATTTGCTATCAAATTGTAGTTTTTCAGTTAACGTTCGAAAAAATAATGATAAAATATTATAATCGTCTAAATTGGACTAACCGTTCATATACATTTTTACTATAAATAAACATTGTTCAACAACTAAACCGATTAGAGGTAGGTGCACCTAACCTAACCGTTTATGTATAAAATACAATAATTAAAAAAAAAATGATTTTACAACATAATAATTATCAAATATTTGATTTGTAATTTATATCCTAAACATAGGTAGTATTTAAAATATATATATGTATAACAACCCTAGTTTAGATTTTAGTATTATAACTAAAACATATGTCTTTAATCTAAAATAAGGATTGATATTTGTTTACTATTTTAATACGTCGATTTTAAAATTAAATTCAATAAATTAATTTGATAGTGGTTCAATATTATTAGCAATTGGTAAAATAAATTGTACCTACTCAGGTTGCTGATTGAATTTGTTATTTTGTGTGAAACTTTTGAAACATTTATTTCATAGTGAAATCAATTGTACGTTTATAATGAAATTCCGATCACCCTATATAATATTATGTTTGGACCAGTTATATATTTTGTCATCGCTAATAGCCGTTCAAATTCCTTTAAGAAAATATAATATAGTGTATATTAGTATTTCCTTATTGTGATTAATCTGTAGAAGCAAATTGCGTTTTAACGACGTACAAAATATATATTTTAGAGTGTCTATTTTTTTTTTATCTTACTTTTTTTTTTTTTAAATATAACACTTGGGTATGTGAACGACGACGCCAGCCGCAGATTAGGTTAATTTCCGTTGTGTTGTTGACATTGGAAAATGATTGGGGACATGTTGCCGAACACCAAATATGACTAGGCTACCGAATTTATAATAATAATAATACAATGTAAGTCGGTTGAAAAAACGCCAGATTATGCCTGACATGAGCTGTTGCCTACATAAAAGTCTATTCGATGATGTATTTTTACATCTGGTTTGACGTCGAAGGAAAACAAATTGGACGTGTCTAGAAATAATAATAATAATTGTGACAGGCGTTCAGAAAGGTAAAACGGTTGTACAAAATTACGAATAAAAGCGAACAAAAATATATTATATTATATTGCAACGTTATTTTTGTCGGTTATGGTGTATTATAAACAATTCATATATATATATATATATACACCAGATACCTGTATTCGATATGGACTTATATGCCTACGTCATATTCTGCAAGGGTACACACGTTATACATTACGACACTGGTGCGCTGTGTATACGAGACGCTTTGTGCGGTATGTATGTTTGAGGAGGGTATAGGTAAAGGGGAGAGGTAGGTGTTATTGTATATAACAGGAGATGTACGGCGGTGGTTGGGGGGGGGGGTCGGATTTAATATATAACGGATCCCGGAGTTGTATAGTACTGTACTGCTGTTGTATAGGTAAGTACATTGTCATTCACCAAGAGTAAGAACACCGCCAAGGGTTTTGTCTCTGTCCCTTTCTCGCCGCCGAGTTTTGCATATTAATTCGGCGAGTCCTGGTCCCGGCGGGCCTTAGACTTGATGAATTTATGTTTCGTTTATTCATGACGTGCCGCCGATCCAAACCGGTCAACCCTTTCGCGTGTGTCTGCTCGCTTTCAACCCTCTCTCCGTGCGTGTCAATCGACCCCGGCAACGGGGGGAGGGGGATGAAGGGGCACACACACACACACGTAGACAAGATGCGGAAATTAATCCTACGGGAACACCTATAGGTATATACGTACCCCGCGTTCCCTGCCGCATTAACCCTTGCCGCAAAGTCTCTATGAGCGCAGGTATACATATATTATGTATAGGTACAAACCACACGGCAGTGGTGGTGGGGGGGGGGGAATAGTGTTTTAGATAATATGTTAAAAACTAAAAAAAACAACAACAAAATTTCAACAAAAATCGATTACCTAATAAAACCACGATGTGAGAGGAAAACTTTGTGATAATCACTTAAGGGGATAATTGAATGTGGTCTGTTTATGATTATTGCCATGACAATATTTAAGGAAAAAAGGGGTTTTAATCATTTTCGACCATGTCGATTAATTTACCGGTTAATTTCTATAAGCTTCAAAAGCCATACTACAACGCAATATGCACTGATCACTGACCAAAGAAGTACTAGTTTTGGAATTTTCGAGAAAGAATTAAAACAGGCAACACGTGTTATAACAATAATAATATAAACTCGATTTTTTAATAAATACAATTTAAAAAAAAATATTTAAAACCGAATACTTAAAATAAAAGAGCGCGTAGGTATTATCGTTTGCTGTCGACAAATTAATATGATTTATTTTATTGTCATTTTTTAGTTTTTTAAAATAGAATTTCAACATTTAAACGAAAAGCAATTCTTTTAATATTCAAAAAACATCAACATAATATCTACTAATATCATATCTGTGATTAGGTTGTGTCAAAAGCAAAGACAAGCAATACCTTGTGCTTGTTGACAAAAATCACATATTTTTAGCAACGAAAATAATATGATTGGTGTTCTTTGTTTGCACACCAAACAAACACTTACAAAAAGTTGTAGTTTGAACGTTTGGATTCGATTTACACGGCTTATGTGAGTGATAGCAGCATCCGAACCGGTCACTTGTTGCGGTGAAAGGGTGGGGACAGTGAGGAGGGAATGCAATATTTTTGAGGCTTATCGGCCCAAGTGCGCGTGATAACGGCCAAATCAAAGGTAATAATATACAAAGGACAACACAATACATGGGAATAGTATATTATAGTAGATTTTTATAATTATTATTATTGTCAACGTCGCGGCCGGTACTATACCCAGTGAAATCCGATACTTGTTCCTGTTCGCCATATGTGTCCGCTCTGTACAGGCCCATAATGTAGTATTATATTATATTACTGGCGTTTCCATGTGTGTGTGTGCATATAGTATATACAACACAATGCGCGGCCACGTTTCTATATTGTACAAAATATATATTACATAATGAACCGAAAAACTCGGCTAATCATCTAGTTAAACGCACCGAAACGGACCCATCCGCCATTTTCGGGATTTTTCTGTATACCAAAAATCGTGGAAAAAACCCCAAAAAATCCCTGCAAAATTTCAGTTTTCGCCATACCGACGTGCCGGCATGTCGCCGTACAACCGTATCGTCGCGTCCGGTCTTCGTGTAGATTGTCGCCAACGTCTTAACCGTGTGTACGCTTTATAATATGTAGGTAAGATCAAATTTGGACAGTGGCCAAGTATGGAAAACCAATAACTTTGCGTTAAATAATCATGTTAGCTCGAATAATTGTTATCTTCAGACAGAACAAAATGGCAGCGTAGGGGATATCAACTTTACCATTACTAGGTATATATTTTACTGTGTACATATATATAGTTGATTTTGGCTCTCTTTACGCGCACATATTTGTTTCATCATCGAATATTTGACAAAGAAGATAGGGTACATTTCAATAAACTGGTATATTTCAATCATAGGTAAAACCTTAGCAAGGGCTTGTGTCGTTAGTACAGGATACACAAAATAATATTTTGATGGTTATTGGCCGAGTCTGTGAATCGATACGACTACTCTTCTTTTCGAGCGCCTTTCAGTGGGTGTGCAGACGTCATAGGCAGCTGGCCACCGTGTTGTCCCAAAAACCCCCGGGGGGGGGGGAGGGGCACGCGCTACGCATCCATCTGCACATATTTTGTCGGTCAAGTGCGGCGATGCTTCCACACAATAGGTACCTTTATTCGGGAATTGCCGGCCGCCGACGAAGGGGAGGGTAACCCGTTCCGAGGTGGGGGAAGACGGCTGGCACCGGATCCGGATAATAACCGCGGACAATAGAGCGGAGAGAGAGACAGGAGAAAATTGATTATTTGTTTGTGTAGTAAAAATTTGTCGTTTTTGTTGGTTTTGCAGGGGCGGATTTTGCGTATCCGACGCAATCACCGCGATCATCGGCCGCATCAGCAGAGGCAGCATCATCAAAAACACACCAGCGACCGCCGGCACCGACGCAGCCGTTACCGTCCGACGAGCGGATCGCCGCCAATCGCGGTAACTCCAACGACCACGTGTCACCGACCACGGCCGTGCGCCCACCATGACTGGATACGCGACCACGGTCCGCGAGTTATAGTGCAGTGATATTGATACATAATTTGTGATACTATATCATCGCGCGCGTAGTGCCGACGAAAGGGGGCGCGACTAGATTGATTTTTTCTCTGTAGATCGAGTGTCCGGTGAATCCGTCAAAGTGGAGGGCGACTTGTTAAACATGAGCTCTTACTTCGCCAACTCGTACATGCCGACCGACATGCGCAACGGGGGTGGCGTGATCGGCGGCGGCGGGGGCGCGGGGGGCGCCGGAATGGAGCACCATCACCATCACGGGCAGCAGCACTACGTGGACAACGCGCCGTGCGACCCGACCGCCCGGCAGGGCATACCGCCACACCACTACGTGGGCCCCACGGTCGGCGGCCAACCGCCCCAGGGCATCCCTTACCCGCGGTTCCCGCCGTACGACCGGATGGAGATCCGGCAGGCCGGCTATTACAACGGCCAGCAGTCATCCATGGACGGCTACAGCAGGCCGGAATCGCCCACCGGCGGCATGGGCCAGATGACCATGAACGGGCACACGCCCGTCGTGTACGCCACGTGCAAGCTCCAGGCTTCCGTGGCCAACGGCCTGGTCGAACCGGCCAGTCCCACCGACATGGTCGACATGACCAGCCACCATCAGATGCCACCCCATCATCACCACTCGCAGCAGCAGCAGCAGCAGCACCACCAGCAGGCGCCGCCGCCGCATCACCAACAACAGCAGCAACCGTATTTCAACAACCTCAGCCCGCATCACCACCAACAGCAACAGCAGCAACAGGTGGCACCCACTTCTGGCCACCACAACCAAGTGGTGGTCAACCCGCACCAACAGACGCCGCCGCTGCAGACGCCCACCGCTCAAAACCAACAGGCGGTCAACAACAACTCGCTGCCGAGTCCACTGTACCCGTGGATGAGAAGCCAATTCGGTAAGTCTGAACTCTTCTTGGCCGGAGAAGACCTTAAGAAAATATTATTTTGATTTTTCTAAACTTTCTCGTTCCCATACGCGGTTCCTCCAGTTAGACGAGTGGGGTAAACCAATCTGGTGGGGGGGTGGCACAAAATATATTATACAGGGTGTCTGACGCTGTTTCGACAACTGTTTCTTCACACAGAAAGCGTGAGACACCAATTTATCCCTTAAGACGCGTAACACACTCCGCTTCCGTTTTCCTCCACTGGGCGCGGTTAGGTAGTAAACTTTTTATTTTATTTTATCCGGTTCACCAAGACCCTTCGACCCATCCAGAAACTCTCCGACTGACTAAAAGGTATTTTTCGCGACCTCGAAAGAGTTTTATTATAATTTTTCGCACTCCTAACAACGTTATATTAACTCTTGCTATTAATATTTAATATATATATATACAATGTGGAATGCGCCTGTTTCCAGTAATAATAATAATTTTACAATAACTTGGTACGCCGTCGTGAATGCGTCTAGAATTTTAGTTGTTTTTTGTTATTATTATTACTTATTTTATTTTTTTTACATTTACTACTGACCGGTTTTTTTTTCGTTTTAGTTTTTGGCATGTATAACAAAAGCATGACGTGTTACACAATAATTTCCTTAAAAAAAAAAAAAAACGTTTTAACACAATGACATTGCGCTGGGGCCACTGCTGCAGGTATTGAATGTGACTGGAGGTATATATAGGTTAGGTACCATATATGAATATAGTGACCGCCGGGGGTCTCCTATCCAGGTGTTGTTGTATTCTTTTTCAGAAAAATCCATCGTACCGACGTGGACGTTATGTGTTATCTGCCTGTATCGGCTATTCCCTCATTAATAACCTTTGTGATATTCTTTACGTCTCTATATAACATTGTAAAACGGCCATTCCGTCGGGCTTCAAACGGTCGTCGGTCGGTCGGTATCGCCGGTGAACAATTTTCTCATCGATTGAAAAATCATAAAAAAAAAAAACTTGCATTCTCGTCGAGACCGGTTCGCAGAAATTACAACAATTTTATTTATCCGCCAAATTCGGCCCCGTGGGTGAGGTTAGGTCCGATCCGGGGTGTTTATAGGTTTTGATTTATCGCATAGAAAACACGTGCATGCCGATCGCTCTGTAGGCGCCCAAAGTCGTCTTTGTCGTCGCCCGGTCAGGTTAGTTTCCTATCCGGTCGTCGTACACCACCCCTTCGCGCCGAGAGTCCTTATTAACGTACCGTGAAACGCATGTGTGACGTGGCTTTCCCCGGCGAGGCCGACATGTGTCTTGAGCAGCTTATTATTATGCTGATGAACACCAGCAGCATTTCTTGAAGAGGCGGCCGAGTGGTGTACGAGGCGTTTGCAGATGACCGGGAAAACCCCACGGGATTGTTGTTGGGAGACCACGTGACCGCCGTTTTTGTGCGCCGTGTACATAATCCCGGGCAACTGGCAATCATAAATTACACACTCAACAAGTGTTCCCCAGCGCACCCCGCCCGTCCTCCCCACAATTTCCCCTGGCCCGTAAACGTTTTAAACCCACCACCACCGCCCCCGCCTTCGTTGGACGGGGTGCGTCGTTATCTTTATTATTATCACCCGGTGCATTATTACAGTCATTTATAGCCGTTTAACCGTTCGTTGCACCTAGGTTCTCAATTCTGTCTTCAACACTTCCAAACTCTGACCGCGAAAACTCGTTGAATAGAGTAGTCTTAAACTATTTTTCATAGGGGGGAGGGAGGGGATTGTTTCAATCTCCAATTTCAATAATATGCTTTTACTGAAAATGTTCAACACTTTATTTATTTATTTTTACTTTTCCTACTACTATTCCGCCGACGATAACAATATTGTAGATAAGCGTTTTTTTTTTTTTACTAATTACCGTATCGGCCGTGAACGACACACGGTACAAAAACCGATTGGAACTCTTCACCTTAAAAATAAAAAACAACATAATTATAACGCCATTAAAACGGCGTTACCGCCATCAGCTGTTCCCATTAGAGAAGCTTAACACCGCCACTCTACACCTACTGTATATTATACACCATTATTTTTGAAAAAATATATATTGTAAAATATTATTATTATAGCCGGTAACTATATTTACAACACATGACTTATACCCATTTAGATTTTTTTTTTTTAAATTTATATCACATTAGGTTTTTTTTATTTCTCATCATTATTATTGTTTGTTTTCTTATTTTTTTATTTTGTTTTTTATATGATTGCGGTAATTTTTGCAGGTCCAGACTCAGGTACGGATGAATTTGCGGTATTTTGGTAATATTTATACATTCGTAGCAGTTGTTTAATTTATACACGTGGCAGTTGAATTTATTTTATCTTATTTTATTTTATTATTATTATTATTATTCTTGTAAGATAATTATTATTACACGCTTGTCTTTATCTCTTTTACTATCTATATTCTATCTTTGGTGAATTGTTTCGTTTTTTTTGGTTTCACTTTCTTCATTTTCTTTGAATATTTTATTACACTCTACAATATTCGTATAGTTTTACTGTACGTTTCATTACTTTTATCAAAAGCATGATGCACTGTGTTGAGTATACATATAAGGATATTTTATTAAATAATTAACTTTTTCATAAAATTATACATAAATAGTAGTTGTTTTATCGTTCAAACGATAAAAAAAAAACACAATATTTTATAACTAACAACATTTTGTGGGTTTTTTTTACTCGTGTGAAAGCAAACGCACTTTATGATAATTTTTTTTTTTTTGCACATATTTTATACAACGTTTATACGCATTTAAATGGTTTTCTTTTCCAATTAACTACACCACGAAGTGCTAGAGGCTACACTTGATTTTCACAAGTCGGTCATGATAACGTTGTTGGTGTTACTTATGTGTAATTTGGTATTTACAATGTCATACCTACCTATCATAGTGTTTACAAAGCGTTATTCGATTAAATTGCATGATAGAAACGAGTGGTTTTATTAAATATAAATATTGTTGACAACAATATTTTTGTTTGGATTTAACGCGTAACCCTAAAGTGAAAACAGTGGGCGAGGAAATCGTTTAGAAAACCATTATTGCAAATTGATTGCATAATGTTTTAAAATGACTTTGCGAGGGTTAAATTCAAAGTGGGTATGTCTACACGTCAGACGTTATTAATCTTGGACGTCTATTTTTAATACTTACCTTAACCGCATCTCAAAATTAAAAATAGTTTCAAATCAAGGTCTCGAGCCAAGTTCATTATTAAAATAATTTAATTAGGATATTTCGGAGTACCGGGTTTTAAATTATAGTTTTACTATAACTGTTAAATGAGTTGAAGCTAAAAGCGAGTCTTATGAATAAAAAAAAAATGCGTTTTTAACATCATTACAAAATGACAAAAATAATAGTTGGAGGCCTTGGTTAAAAAAAAAACACAAAGTGGCAACATTTTCAAATTTGATTTTTCGGTTTTTTCGTTTGCAATTACAATATTATTACCTTACTGCAAGTCTGATACTTGGGTACTTTGCTAGTGTGAAAGTTCACCGTGTACATTTTTGGCTTATCTATACTCGGAGCGCAAATGTCATTGACATTTAAATTTGAATCTGTGACAATGTGTGTGGGTGTACAAGACGCGTTGCAGAAGGTTCACCGTAATCTCCTCGTGCTCGGTTTGAACACATTTCGTGGGACGCAATCAATTTGCATGTGGGTAATTTCCGGTGTCCCTTACCCCCCCTCCCCCCACTCCATTTGACTTCTTAACTCTACGCCGCCTTCCCCTTTGGGTTGACATCAAAAGAAACGGCAAGCGTCCGACCGAAAAACTTCCGGCAATCCGTCAATGTCAGACCGCTTTTTTAAAATTTAACCAAACCAAAGCCGTTTCCAATCGTTTTGAAAACACACAATCGGCATGATAATAATAATTGTTTGTCGTGGATATCGGGGGGGGGGGAGGGGATTCGAAAAAACCTTAAGACTTACAACTAGTGTTGTATTTTTATTTTTTATTTCCAAAAATCTTTATGTAGGTATTTTGAAAAGCGTTAGTTTCAAAAGTGGTTTAATACCCATCCCAAGCTAGATTTTTTTTTTTTTTCTTAAATAAAATAATACAGAAGGGAAAAAAAGGAAAAGCGCTTATCCGGGCGCACACGCATAATAGACCTGTCGTGTCTTCGTTGTGCCTTCTCCTCTTCCTCCTCCTCCGTTTGTGTGTGAGCCGCTGTTTTCTGGCTCAGCTGGCGTACAGATTATATTATTATTATTATCGTGTGTGCGTTGGTATAAAAGTGACTGGATGTTACTTGGAGTAAGGGGAGGAGAGGGGGCCGAGGGGAAAACCCATAATTCATAAATGTCCCACTGATCTACAGATTATGCCGACGTCACGGTCCCGTGGAATTATCGCTCTTGTGCACACACACACACTGACACACGGGTCGCATATTATATTATGTACACTCCAAAGAGTATAATAATATCTAAGTAGACACGTTTTTTTTTTTAAATTGTTTTTGTTAATTTTGAGTCGTCTTTTTTGGCTGCTTAAATAATTCGCCGTCGAAAAACCGTTTTGTGTATAAATTTTTTAAAATTTATATTCAATTTTCCAATTAAAAAAAAAAAAAGCCTTTGGGAAACAACACCGGGCGGCGTCCTTTAACTAAAAAAAAAAAAAAACCCGTCAATCTGTCCCTGAGCGTTTCAAAATGGTCGGCAGAAGCGACGAGTGGGTGGGGACGAGGGGTTGGCAATCCGTCATTTTGGGCAGCCATGAGAGGAGGGTCGGTGTTGTGTTTGTACCTAACCGAGTTAATTAACTTTGTGCCTCTCCGCCGCCCTTTGTATGTATATATATATACGTGCACAAGCCGAACCCCAAACGGCTGGTCTGTAATTAATATTTGCCTGCCGTCTGACAGACGAGCCGTCGCAATAGCAGCAACATTCAAAATGCTCTCTTCTATATATATATATATATATATATAAAAAATTATAAAAAATTAACCTATCAGAACCGTAAACACGGTTATGTTCTAAAAATAAAAATCCGTCGCGTCCAAAGCCCGGTGCTGCACCGTTGGCCGCGGTTATTCTTTTGGCGCAGGGTTTTATACAGGATGAAATTACAAAAGCCAATCGAAAAAAAATATTGTCATTTTTTAAAATAAGACTCCAACTTTTATAAATTAGATAATGACCATGGATGGATTTTTTGTGTGTCAGTAGTTTTCCCAATTATTGTGGTCCCTATAATCAGTGTACAATCATTTCGATGTGGCCATATTTTACTAAATGTACCTATATAATATACAGAATGACCCGTCTAATGTGAGACTTTAAAAATATGAATATTTTGAAAATTATTTTATTCCCTATACTTAAAGGCACTCTACTATATTTTTCGATACTTTGAACATTTTCAACATCATCCCTTATTCGTAATAAGACTATCAACTTTGTTTTTACTAATGGCAACACATATATTTTTAACTGAGTAGTAAAACAATTAATTTTTAAATCTTCGTTTGAATTTAAAATTAAAAATAATCGGTTTGTCACTTATGACTTTGTAAAGATTTAAATGTAAAATCAATATTCGTTCGGTTTTTAAAGACAATAGCTCAGTGACTTGCCATTAAACAATAATATACAGCGACAGCTATTGGCTTAGTAATAACAAAAGGATTTTGACAACAGTTTGAAAAAAATAAAAATCATTCCCAAGCCAACGATCAGGTTAATAAAAATTAATAATTCAAACACTAACATGTTTTGTCTACATATTAAAAACATAGGTCCCCCCTTTTGAAAAAACAAAGCCCATACTAATTTTAGTTATAAGGGATAAAGATAAAACTGTTAAGTATTGAAAAATATAGCAAAATATGTACCTACAAGTATAGGAACTATATTAATTTACATAATATTCATATTTTCCGAAAACATTAGTGTCTTAAGTGGATCATCCCGTACAAGAAAACAATCAAACAACAGTATATTCTAAGGAGAAAAGTATTGTGAGAGAGTGAGAGAGTAAGATTTCGTTTGGTTTTTGTTCTCCGGTAAAACACACAGCGGACATGTACTTAGAAGACTTTGCACGCTAGTCGCCGCTCAGATTTAACACTCCCTCGGGACTTTCTTTTTTTTCTCGCTCCCCGTAATAAATTCCCGCTCCTCTAAACTGCCGTCTTCTTATCCCGGACGTTTTGTCTTTACCGCGCAAACAGATTCACGGGCCATACCAAGGCAAACATACCAACAAGACGGGTAATAACGATATTGTTGAGGATCGCAGACCAACCGCCGCCGCCGGTTATTATAAAAAAAATAGTCCTTACTATTGGCTACATAATTATTGTTATTATAGAAATTTTTTAATTATTTAAAAAAAAAGTTCAACTCGTCCAACTTTTTTTTTTCTAGTTAGTCATTGAAAATGGGAAATGGTGTTAGCTAGGTACAAAATATAGAATAAATGCGGGTAAAATAATATAAATGATAGACAATTAAAAAAATTAATGGAGAACTTTAAATCTTAACGTGTAACGCAAAATTAAATATCCGAAAACAGCTGAGAAGGTTCACCATTTTCCAAGGCTGACAGTATTGTGGTCATAACCATGTGTCGTTTGTCTTAATTGTTTTGTGTTGAGAACTTTTCTATCCTTTCTCTCTCTCTCTCTCTTTCTTATATAATAATATATATTATTATATATTATTTCAGTACCTATATAGGTACTAAAATTTTGCGACAAACGCGAATTCCAATAGTTTTTATTTAAATATTTTCGCCAATCCATTTTGACAATTATTGAAGTGGATTAAACGTCTTGATAACAATTTCCCATGGCCCGGTGCAGATGTTTTTTCTTTAACGCCAACGACCGCGGGTTTTTTTTTTGGTAATAATTAGGGACAAACGCACTTGTGTGTATTTTTTTAATTATAATTTTGTTGAAACCCGTTACACATACGCTCGGCTCGGAACAACAAAAATAATAGTATAACGTTATTTGTTATGTGTTTTATATGCCGGTATACCGCACAGAGCAACTGTACATAATATACATGTATATATACACGTTGTATGTGTTTATAGCGACTTAGTGTAGTCGTATAAATCATTCTTATGGGCATCGTTGACAATATTAACGTTGTTAAGTACGCGTTTAACGCGGTGTTTTATTAGAAACCATTTTCGAAAACATTTGTTTACACACTACACTGTTGTGTATTTGTCTTCTTCCGTTCTCGCTACACAAACCGTACACGCCTTTTGACGTTTACCACAATTATATCAATTATTGACTGTGCATAGTTAGTTATGTTAACATAACCACCGAGTAATCAATTATTCTGTGTCTACATATTGTCTTGTCTGCAATCAGTGTTTAGCTGACTAATTCGATTAAAAAATTCAATCAACAGTCGATTCGTTATAGCGTTGGTCGTCGTTTTGTGTTTGAATTTTAACAATGAATAGTAGTTATAAATGGTCTTTCATTCAGTTGAATCGTTTACGTTTTCAATGGTTAACCTTATTGGAATTTGTCCAAGGCTTGTAATATGATGAAAATATTAATATTATTTTTCTTGTTATTAATCGAAGTGACTGTTATGTTGAGGTGTTAACTGATATTTTTTGCAAAATATTATCTAGTTTGAATGAATCAAAGCGTTAGTACAATATATTACACAATTTAGCAAAATATTATAACAGTCGAGTTTTAAAACTAAAAAAGTCGCAAGCATTTGAATATACATATATATTGACTGAAATGTTGCCTCCTGAACAGTTTTGAAATTGTCAGTTAACACCTTTATGCACTCACCTTCTCAATTGTGATTTATGTGATTTTCAACAGCGCGTTATACGTTTGCGACGATTTTTCTTCTCTTTTCTTGTCTATGGACTTATAATTTTTATAAAAAGTTTGACCGCCTTGTTCGACTTTCTAGAGAATATATTGTGCTTGTTATAATACATATTGGTGCGGTACGTGTAGGGTAGGTAGGTGGTATGTATGAGTACGCGTATAAAGTCCCTGGAGAATTTTCCTCGTTTCCTAATTGGTCGTGGAAAAAATTACAAATTATACTCGAAGAGAGTCTCATATTATATATTATTTTATATATATATGAGCTGTGGATTCTCCCCGGAGGTCGACATATTCGTTTGACACACACACATACATATTCTACGCCTCTGGCTTTTAACATTTTCGGTAAATCTCTCTCCCTTTTTATTTTTTGACTTATATATATATTTTTACTCTCTCTCTTTCTACGGTAGTGTTTTTTTTTTTCATATATGTAATACGACGGCGGTCGTTTGGGACGCGACCGGTCGGTCCCCGGTGGGAACCGAAGCCGACGCCGCCTATAACCTCACTCTATGCCGCCCTGAAGGCCCAACGAACCGCCGCCGCCGCCGCCATAAATCTTCGTCACTTTTGACACAACGTCTCTACGCCCCCCTGTTCTATCTTTAAGACTCTCTCTCTCTCTCTCTCTTTCTATTTCTCTTCAACTGCCGGGATTATCCCGAGCTCACAGTCGTATTACATACATATATATAAACCGTACAGTATATATGTAACGGTGACCCCAGCACGACTTTCTTGTTTCGGTTTACAGACAGAGCCCAAGGACTACGGGTCCCCCCCTTTCCCGTCGTATAGGTGTCTCTCTGTCGAACGGCTGCGTCGCACACATGAAAAAAACCGTCCAAATAATCTGCTTTATACTATTCCCCTCGTATACAAGTTGTGTCTAAGTTTATCCTCCTCGAGTCTTTCCCTTCGCTCACACACACAGACACAAATCTATTAATACACGTCCTTTTGACGGGCTCACGTGGTATCCTTTTGTGCGAGTCCGTCCGAAACCGTAAGTTTATACGGCAAGACGGCTTTCAATTCAATTTCCCATCGTTGAGCTCACCAACGCTGTCAGTGCACACACACACCTTGCAGGCCGTTAGTTCATCGCACTCGCTATGATATATAATAGCTGTTGGACCACTCGGCAACCCGACTTAAAAAACACACATGACTTCCGGACGGATCGTGTTCGCCATTTCAACCGAATGAACCTAACACCCTGTATCGTATAGACTTATAGTCGTTTAGTATAATGTAATTTATTATCTATTTTGTATCCAGATAACATTGTATATTTATCTTTATATAGATACATTTTTAATTAATAATCTATTATCTTAACTAGATGATTTTTTATCAAATGATTTGTCATCTTATCTAGTTGGTTGTTTAGTTATCTTTCTTCAACACTGCTTCTAAAAATAGTCTACAATAAACATGGCCTGTTAAAGGGTTAAGGTTAAGACGTATGTTAGGGGATGATGTTTTTGACTTTGGTGGAGGGAGAGATTTTTAAAAAAAAAAAAATATTCTAATATAATAACGTAGGATTCGGTTTTGGCGATTAATATAATAATTGTTGCGTTTCTCCGGTCCGGGTCGCTTAATACACGGCGGCTTTGGCCATATAATTATTTCGGTCGTAAACGCGGTTAAGACTTGGATTCGCCGAGGTCGTTTGTAATTGTTATTGCTGGTCGTTGCAATTGCACTCACTGTAGGATAATATGATAGTGTAATACCAATATAATACCGAACAGACCCTCTCGTTGGCGTTGATTATATTATTGTTGTCGTCGTCGACAAATCCGCGCTGGAAGGCAGCAATTAATTCTAAATCCGGTTGGATACCTTCAGCTGATGGCCTTTGGATGTCCTACCGCACTTTCTCTTGCGTATGACGACACAGGACACTCTAACCCCCCTCCACCCCATGTTAACTATATATTACTCTGTATACAGTATATATATGTCCCTTACTAATGGCTTTTGTCGCATTGAAAACTTGTAAGTTTAAAATGTTCACGAGGTACGTTTAAAAAACCGACGTGGTCAGGAAGTATAAAAGGATAAACTATCTTTTTTAAGAGATAATAAAATATTTGGGTTTAATAATAACTTTGGTTCGTTACACAGTACTCTACTTAGTAAAATCGGTTATTATTCGGGGAGTTTTATTAGTTTTGGAGGATTAGGAGAGAAATTCACAAATAGTTGTTATACGTAAACACATCTGTGATCTGTCATACATACACTCACATTGCGGCTTACAATTTGCTGTAGGTTGCAAAATTATGTTACACAATTTAAACATTTTACAAAAACAGCTACGTATTTTTTTATTATTGTAAATATATTTTTGTGAACATTATTTTGCCAGGGAATTAAAAAAAAAATACTATAACTTAAAAATGGATTTCGCTGTGTGGTAATAAAAAACGCTTTGTTATTGTGGATTTAATTCCTTATGTCTATTAACACCAAACAATTCTTTATAATAATATCGACTTTAGTATTGCCAAATAAATACACCTTTTAAAAACATATTTAATTTTGTTATACGTACCTGTTGAAAGCATTTACAATTATAATTGAATCGTAAATTATTTATTAAAAGTCACAGTTTAGTTGAAAATTATTTTTTAAAAATAAATTTACTGATCGTTTACTTTTAAAAGGAGTCAAAATCGTATAATAGTTTTTTTTTATGGCGATTCAAACATTTACAACAACATTTTCTATTAATGATTTACATATATTTGTTTAAAAGTCATAACCAAATTTATTGGTAAAGTACTTTTGGCTTACATCACTCTATTGCACACAATTCCATTGTTATCATTTAGTAATTGTTAAATTTATATATAGAGTTAAGTAACTCATTTGTTTATGAAAAAGAGTCAGATTCGTTCAAATAAAAATCTTACAGTTGACATAAGTATAAAAAATGTTTTTTATAATTTTTTCCAAGTAAAATTGTACGCGAAAAACAATTAATTTTAATTTCCCGAAAGTTTAACTTTTTGGCATAAACCTCTCTCATAAACAATCAATTTACATTGCGTTGTAGCCGAGACAGTTGATTTGTTACTATTGTTCTATATTCAATCGTTCAGTACCGGGATAGGGCCAAGAGGTTTATTTGTATATGTACTCTGTTTGGTGGTCGAAAGCTGGAAGCGATTGGATACCGTGTATTTATACATAATATATTATATTTATTAGAAAAGCTTTATCGGTTGCCCATTTGAATAGCCGTTTTATGAAATGCCATTCGATTTGATATTTTATTGCGCACAAACAATTATTGTAAACGACATGCGTTTGTTTTGTGTTGTTTTGCAGAAAGGAAACGCGGCCGGCAGACCTATACCAGATACCAGACCCTGGAGCTGGAGAAGGAGTTCCACTTCAACAGGTACCTGACCAGAAGGCGGAGGATCGAGATAGCCCACGCGCTGTGTCTGACCGAGCGCCAGATTAAGATTTGGTTCCAAAACCGAAGGATGAAGTGGAAAAAAGAGAACAAAACCAAAGGCGGCGACGGACAGGGCGGAGACGGTAGCGACATAACGCCTCAGACTTCGCCGCAGTGAGCACAGCTCTACGGCAAGAAGGACTCCCAAAGTGCTTAGCGGCCGGGCGAGGGACGGCCACGACGGAAGTAAAGTTCAAAAAACGGAAAAGAAGTAACGTTTCTTCTTCTTCTTCTTCACCGTATATACTTCAAACGACAGCCGCTGCAAAGTCGCTCTACTTTTTAGTTACCATGTGTCTAAAATCAGAGTGGTGGTTTAGGTGTTACATATATTATTATAATTATAATTATATTATGTACCTATACCATAATAATAATAATATATAGGTAGGTAATAGTTTTGTAACACCAACAGCACAGTTTTTTTCTTTCTTCAATCGACGGCAATATTAATATACAAATATGTATAAAATATTACATATAAATATAATATAATATATATATGTAATATTATTATGATGATGATGATGGTTTCCCCTCGCGTTTATATAATATTACAATATTTAGGTAACTTATATTCTAAGATTGTGTCTAAGTCATTACGTCGTAGGGTTTTTATTTATTTATTTTTTTTTTGTTTCGTTTAATTTTTATTTAGTTTTAAGCACAAAGAGAAATAAACAAAATATAATACAGTACATGATAATAAAAAAAACGCGGGTTATAATAAAAAAAATGTGTTTTGTGCTTTTGAGTTTAGAAAAAAAAAAAATAACTCGTTATAGGAAAACACTGTGCGTGGACACACTTATACATATGAAGTATATATATTAATATATATATATATATATTATGATATTGTGTTTGTATTATAACGGGCGGACCTGCGCTCATATAGGATCTCAGAAACCAGCTCAAATAACACGTTCTCAGTAAATATATATTATGTATACAATACCTAAAATATTTATATATGTATAGAAAATATCAAATTTTCATTTCCAAGACAAGTTTTTTTTTTTTGTATAAAAAATAAAGAAATATTATTTTACCTAGTGCCATTAGGAATTAGACTGCACCGTGGTTGGCGTTTCACTTTTAGAGACGACCCAAAAAAAATAGGCGATTATTGATAATAAAATATAAAAAAATCAATTAAAGGATTCGGTTTTTGATTGACTTTTTTTTGGGTCAAACTTCTTAAGAAAGCCGTCACGCAAACCGCGGTTAAAACGCTAACGTACCAAAGGTGGTATTTTCGTACTTTTTTTGTTTTTGTTTTTATTTGAATTAAATTAAAGAGTTTTTTTTTTGTAAAATAATCTAGTTTAAAAATAAACGTGTGACTATATAGTTTAACTCGAATAAAATATATACGTATTAGATGTAAGGCATTTATAAAATATAATTATTGAAATGAAATATATTATTATTATTTATATAAAAATATGTATGTGTATATAGTATTAACGTTTAAGCTTTGTATAATATGATTGTATTAAAATATAATTAAAAAGAAATGTTTGTATAATATTAGAGATCGGTCCATGCCACTTCTTGTTTATTTTTTGTTTTCGCCGTGAAAACTATTTATAAAATGTTTTATACAATTTATTAAATTTATATTATATTTTTTTCCTTGTTCGAATTCACAACTTTAATAAATAATATATATATATTATGATTACACGCATCGTATAATTACTATAATAATAATGAATATTATATTTCAACTTTGATTTTCCTGGCAATATTGTGTTAAAAAGAGTCCAGTGCAATTTTTTCTTTTTTTTCTTTTGTACAGAGTTTAACCGCAATTAAAATAATAATAATACATTTATTATTATAAAAAATAAAAAAAATGTTTTTTTTATTCGTTGGTTTCAATTACAAATTATAAATTTAAATATATATATATTTCTCTTTTGTATATAATATTATATACGTAACCTAAAAAAAAACCATAAGCATAGAAATAGTGTTTTTTTTTAATGAAAATTACTAACACTATTTCTTTCATAATAATGTACAGTGAGATTTTATTTACATATAGTATATATATATATATACATATATAAATATAATTGTAATATTATAAATATATAAAACCAAAAAGTAATATACAATTTTATTATAGTATGTATAAATTATATACTTTAATAATAATATTTATATATTTGTATATATATTTATATTTATTATGTATATTATATAAATATAAATAATACATAGAGAAAAGCGTGTGCGTGCTGGTAGTTTTTTTATTTTATTAACCATTTTGTTTTTTGTTTTGTTTATTTTTTTAAGAAAGAATATCTTGTAAACTTTATTATATTCCGTAAAGAAAACCTGGCAAGGATTACCTCTAATTTATTTTTACATATTATTTTATGCTATGTAAAAAAAGTATAAAAAAACAACCACAGCAACATATATACGTAATAATTACTAAGGCTCGTTTATTATTATTATTTTGGAAGTCGTGATAAATACTATGTTGAGTACTTATTGTAATACCAAAAAAAAAAAAAAAAACAAAATATGACAACTAAACATTTTCGTTTGGAAAATATTATATATTGTATAATGTAATTTTTATGTGTAATAAAACGGTCAGTACAATGAAAACCACACAACAACCGAGTGTTTAGGCATTCATTAAGTTCCTCTTAAACATATTAGTTTTAGTGTTCGTTACAATATTTTAGATTAATTAAGTAGAAATTTATGTTAATTTTAAAAAAATGAACATTTTTTTTTAAATAAACACAATAATAAAAGAAAAGAAAAAATAATGTTTCATTTTCAATTATTTATATATTATATTTTATAGTCATTACACACATCCATTCAATCCATTCAGCCGGCAATTGATAATACAATATTTGTCTGTTTACATATGATTACACTAATCATAGTAATCTTTTTAATAATAGTATAATTTATTTTCAATATTATAAATATTTTGAATAATTATTATACTGTTACAATAATTTCCACATTTGCTGGGTTCGACAAAACGGTTTAGTAAACTTACATGAGTTCTGCACTACATAATACATAATGATTGCTGCAAAATATTGTCGTTAAGCAATAAAACATAGGTGCACAATAATAATAATTATTGTTTTATTAAGAACTGCTGATGTCTTCGATCACGGACAATAGTGAAGAACTCGTGATTCAAACCGTATAATGTGGTGGTGTATTATAATATGTTTATCTACTTGGTATACTTATTGTTAGTAGTGAAATGTGTATATGTAATGCAAATTATGCAACGCCTATACATAGGTGGTAATAATATATTTATGTATTTTCATATTAGCAGAGATGTACGTCGTTGTGTCGTCGTGTACGATATTGATCAAAGTGCGATAAAAAATTAGTGTTTTTTTTTCAATGTTGCTCAGTGTGTGCCGTCGTCGGTGCTGATGTGATCTCGGCTAATGTGGATAAAAAAACGACGAGGACGTTGCCAGTGCGAACGGCAGGTTTTTTTTTTTGTAAAAATATGTATGTTATTTTTTTATCGGTTTGTGTCCGCCGTATAATAATAATATAATGTATAGTGCCTGTGCGTTTCACGGTCAGCAAAACGACAAAAATCGACGGAACGTTCAATAGACTTGCGAAGAGAGGACAAAAGAAGACAGTAAGAAGGCGGTCGTGGACTGGGTGAGTTTTTTTAAAAAATTTTTTTATTGTCGGTTTGTTTCAGTTGAATCGCTTGTAGTTTGCATATTTTTTTCAATATAAAGCGCGAGTACCTATATAAAAGTGTTTTGAGTTCATAGCATTACAATAATCGTTTATCACGCGCCTAAATATTATATTATACTCTGTAATCGTTTTACGGTCGTCCAAGCGTAAACAGGGTTATTGTGCGCGGCGGAAAGGTCCAGAATTTAACGCGGTCAGTCATCCAGGACTTGTCTCGTATGTGCGCCACAGCATCCCGGGGTATACACAAAGCTAACACTTGGAGGAATACATAATACACCTATCTCGGGTGTAGTATATTTGTAGTATGAATTGTCTCTTTATCACTTCCACATGGGCACCGGCGGTTAACGCAGCTCATCGCCAAGCCCGTGTTTAGAGGTATAGTAATACATAGTGCTGTACACAATAGCATCGCGACGACCAAGATGATGTTGATGATTATGACAAACCGTGGATATCTACATTCTACCCCTTTCTTTCCGCCCCGTTCGCCATCATCCTGCTAACCGTACACGTGATACGGAAGCCGGTTAAAAGCTCTACTCCCCATCCCTTGTCTCCCCCCAGTTGCCACCGTTTGCACGGCGCGCAGAGCTCGCATAAATCAATGCGGTTTTCGCCCTCAAAAACCCTTTTCGGCGAGTATGCGTTTATTTCCCCTGAAAGTCAACACAAAAATAAACCACTGCTCGCCGACGAGACGCGACAATGATTTTTTCGGTGCCGTAAACTCCATTAACGACCCCCCCTCCCCCGATTCTTACCCCATCTTTGATTTCTTTGTGTACGCCGATCGGTTATCGCCAAGAAAAATATGTCTTACTCCCTCGTCGGATATGGCATAACGTTGTTTTGTGTATATACAATTTTGATAAAACTGTTGTACCCAATACGTTTTGTTCGAAACACACATTTTAACAAACCCTAGGCACCCAGATAGTTGGAATCAAATTAAAAAAAAAACTTCCAAGAGTAGAATAACTTTATCGGTTTTTAGATAAAAAATAAAATAAAATAGAAATACCTTAACTTTAATATTAAAAAAAAAACATTAAAAGTACCGGAAACATTATAAAAAGAATAAAAATACAAAAAATTGTTTTACCATAATTGAAATACGTTTTTTTAAACATAAATTTAGGTATAAAATAGCTTTCAAAGGATAAAAATCAAAATATTTATTTAAAAATAATAATAACGAAGCCAAAACCAAAACCTTTATACTTTTTAGAACCAATATGAATCGAATAATACAATTTTTTTTTATACGAACAGGGACCAGAACCGAAAAACCTTTAGGCTCTAACCCCCATAGACACATAGGCACATAGACAGATATTTTTAGAAGGGAAAGAGGGTTATTATGACCTTCTGAGTCCCACCGTTTATTGTTCACTGCCACCGAAAATCAAATAACCTAACCTAACAAACCGTACAACCAATTTGATTTGTGTTGTTCGTGCTTTACAAAGGATTATGTTAATAGTATTCCGATTGATTTTAAAAGACAAAGTATTCAATATATAATATTATACATTTTCACAATATGAGCGTCCGAACTACACAATATTATAGAGCGTAGAAAGATCTTAATAAATGTATGTACCTAAATATTATTTATAGACACTGTACATAGTAATAGCTGTATAAGGGTCTGCGTTTGGAGTCGTAGCGACTGGTACGGCGTGTAGTGGATATGTGTATGTGTGTTAAATGTGTGTATTTGTGTGTGTGTGTGTGTAGGGAAGATGTTGCAGGGGAAAAGGCCATAAATCAATACCCGCGTGGGCGAACGGGGCAGGCGGCGATAGCCCGGGTTCAGCGACGTGTAGGGGAGGCAGCAAACAAAACAATGCTTTGCGCTGCCGAAAATCGTCAAAATACCTCTGGAGCTTTTCACAACCTCTCCCCACCCTCAACAGCTCGGCGACTATGTGAATTATAGCCGTTTGATTGTGTGTGTGTATGCGAACTTGAGTTTCAACTTAACGGCCAATGTCGGTTTATCCCCTCGATACCACCACTGGGCCGTGTACAATATATACCACTCCCTTGACCTACAACGTGTATTAGTCGGTCGCGAAAGGGTTAGGGCGGCGAGTAGGCAACGACGGGATAATCGAATTCCTCCGGAATTCCTTTGGCCATGCCGACCGAACCGATTGTTTTGGTGAAAACAGTTGAGTTATATATATAATCGATAAGACTCGGGCGATTAATATTAATTACTATTCACGGATGGCGGGTCCGTGGAATATAAATCAAGCAAAGAACTTTTATATTACGGGTTTCGCATGCCTCAATAGTTATATGTACAATAGCCTCTTGTATTACGAAGGCGCTGTAGGATATGCAACTATTGTCGCCTACTGCCAAATACTTTTATAACAACCCATTAATAATATCCACGTTATAATTATAATACCATCGACGAGGCAATGCACGTGTGTCACTTGTTTTCGTTGTGACTTTTACTTAGAAACGATGAATAGGAATTTGAATAATCGGTTTTCGATTTACCGGCGGTAACTCAATGTCTATAAAAGAATAAACTTTGATCGGTGTTACTTTTTTTTTGGCGATAATCGGTAGGCTGTGATTAGGACGTGTATCGCATAACGGACTTGTCGAAAGAAAGCGCGAAATAGCTGATTTCGTGTAATAGCGGGGACTCGCACACAAAACGTCTTATGAGAGTTCACGGGCGGTGAACGGACGGCGGTACGCGCTCGTGCGATAAATCACCGAATCGTAACCCGTAATAAGGGGAAGCCACGGCGGGGGGAGGGCGCAGACTCAATGTATTAGGGAAGAGAGTGCGGAGAGAGAGACGACAACAGCAACAGCACCGGGAGCAGCAACATCAGCATGGGAGCGACAAGACGGTATAATGTGGAATTAAGACGTCATATAGGAATATCATACTCTCTCACCGTGGTGTGTCTTTCGGTGGAAACGCCGCCGCTTCGCAAGCAGCCCGTCACTGTCGTGTTGCTCTGTGTATATACATTATATT